CCATGTTGACTGAGACAACTACACATTAACATTATCTGTGTTCCATCTTACTTTTATTTTGTTAAATATTTCCCAATTACATTTTAATTTGATTAGACTACTCTCAGTGTTGCTGGCCATATGTTTCATATCTCTGACCAAAAAGGCACAAAAATATTTTAAATAATTAAAAGTTCTACAGAAATGGAAAGTATTACTATATTATTTCTATGTTTAAGGTTTTTCATGGGTAATATTCAGAGATGAAAGTCTCAATGAAAATGAGGCTGAATTTGGAGTCAGGGGACCTGAGTTCAAATTTTGTTCTGCTTCTTACTCTGTGACCTTAGACACATCTCATAACCTTTCTGGGTGTCAGGTTCCTCATCTGTAAAATAAAGAGGTTGGATATAAAGTCTCTTCCAATTCCAAAGTTATGATTTGGAAGTTTCTATGTATATTACTTGCTAAACTTACAGTTTCACCAATAAACGTATTTGGAATTGTGCTTTCTGAACTCTATTTTTTCAGTGGACAAAACAGAAATTCCCTGTGTTAGAATTGTGATTCTTTAGTTTAAGTCTGAATATTGATGCATGAAATTGAAATTAAAAAATTCTTATAATTCTAATCAAATAACTTTCTAAAAAATGACTTCTTGGCTGGAGTTATTATTTTCACTGGGGCTTTTTTACGGAGGGGTTTCAATGGAGTTCTTTTTAAAGGCAGAGTCTTTTTCGGTGTTTGCAGGCCCCTTGCCATCTCTACATGCTCATTGCAGAAATATTTGCTACTTCCTTCTGAGAGACGGATGAGCAACTGCTCAGCCAAGTTCATACATTGGGCATGGACCCAGTGGCCATCTCCATGAGAACAGTAGATCATGGCAGGTTTATTGAGTTCAGTGGAATAGAAGGGCACCCAGGTGTTGATGTCAACATCACAGGTGGGGCAGCAGATGATCCAATAGCCTGTTTCTGATTCATCTTCTTCATCGTCTTCATTATAGGTGTCAATATCATCATCCCCATCAAAGCTGTTGATTTCTGCGCTGAAACAAAATTCTTCTGAGTCTTCGAAGGGAGTGGAGTCCCCTGGGTCTTCTGCTGATGTTTGACTGCAGGAGAACGTTGCCTGTTCTTCTGCTATTGGGTCATCTCCATCGCACTTCAAGATGTAGAAGTAGTGTGCATCTGACATCGTTTGCTTATTGTCCCCTGGTATACCAAGAAAAACGGTCCCGTTCCCCATGCTACTTCCAAACCATAATTTGCTGTGTTTGATATCAGGGGTCCAATCTGGGGTCTCCATATCTTGGATCTCAATCTTGTTGTCCTCTATGGTGACGATGTTGCAGACCATCCTTTTTTGATTTTCAAGCTGGTAGCCCCCCACAATGACAAACTCATTGTTTTTAGTTTTAGTCAGGATAGCACTGGAGATTGAGACTCCTCCTGGCAAGACAGTGCAACTCACAGCTGGGCTCCCCAGTGGTAGATCCACCTTCAGTCTGTATAGGCTGGGGGGTCGGCTATTATTAGTGAGACAATGGCCCCCTAGAATGTAAATGGTGTCATTTCTGGCAATGGAGACATGAAAGGAGAGCCCATCCTGGAGCTCTGGAAAGGTGTAGGAGGTACAGCATCCAAATTCAAAATCCATTAAGAAGACATATGGAGAGCAGTCAATGACACTATTCCATTTTTCTGTGGTCCTCTGGGCAGATGGCATATAGGACCGCCCTCCAAAGATAACACACCTGCTCTTCCCTCGGCTATAAACCACATCGATGGTGTGGCCATATCTTGCCTCAGGAACATCTCCGACTAACTCTTTCTCTGTACAACGAAAAGTAACCTTCTTGTTGTTCTTGCAAATGGCACTCATGATGTAAATCTTATCTGACAGTTCATTGTTTGGGGTTTTTCCTCCATGGATGATATATTGTACTTTCTCCGACTCGAGGCTACTTTGGTAGGTGCACGTAGCTGGGTATCGAAGAGGTGGGAGGTAGCAGGAATCCTTAGAGAAAGAAGCAGGTTTCAGTTTGAGCTGGTTCCGCTTGACATCGAAGAGAAAAACACCAGTGGGGCAAGACCTTTTGGGCCAGCCTTTTTGCCCAAAGAAAAAAACTTGTCCATCAAAATTCATCAAAGAGAAACCTGGTTGTATTAAGGAGGCGTTATTATTCACTGTTATCATATGTAGGGACATATTGACTGATGATGGGCAGATCCTTTATCTGAAGAAATCACAGAAAACAAGAGTAAGAACTCACATTTTCACACTGCTTTTGTTGATTGTTGTTCGATCATGTCTGACTCTATAGGACCCTGTCTTGGCAAAGATACTGGAGTGGTTTGCCATTTCCTTCTCCAGTATGTTCCCATTTTACAGATGAGGAAGTAAGGCAAGTAAGGGTTAAGTGACTTGTCTAAGGTCACACAGCTACTAAGTATCTGAGGCTAGATTTGAACTTAGAAAGATGAGTCTTCCTGTTTCCAAACCCAGTGTTCTATGTGCTGTGCCACCTAGCTGCCCTTAAAGTAAATAAATAGTAACATATGTATATATGTATATATACTTACATGTGTATACATAGGAATTTGTATTTTTTGTATATATAGGAATTTGAACTTGTATATGTGTGTATGTAGGTATATGTATATACAGGTATATGTATATATGTATAGATACATACATGCATATACATTTATGTGTATATATACATATATACACACATATACATATGCACACACAAAGTAGTTAAATACGAGGTTGTTTGGGACAGAGCCTTAGAAAAGTGAAATGACTTGACCAGGATCTCACTACTAATGTGAGCCAGGTTTCTGACCCAGGCCTCTTGAGTCTAGGTCCAAGGTGCTTGCTGCTACATGGTGGCCCTGGAGTCAGAGATTGCTCCTGGCAAGACTGCATTGCTTATAAGTGATCACCCCATTGGGAAAGCCACCCCCAGTGTTTGCTTTTTTACACTTGAGCTCATAGTCATCTAGACTGGCAGCCAGGTAGTGCAGTGGAGAGAGAGCATTGGACTTGGAGGCAGGAATTCAAGTTCAAGCTCATTCTCAGAAACTTACTCGTGGGACTTTGGGCCAGTCATTGATTTCCCAGTTTTAGCCACCAGGAAAAATCAGCTGCCTATAGCTTCCACTCCTATCAGCCTCTTCTCCTCTTGGAGAGCTTTTCCCTGAATCTCCGTCTTGGGGAAGGGCCCATCCCAGCAATCTCTGATTCTCTGGACTTGGGCACGATGTCTCAGCCCAGGTAATTTTCTCTACCTCCTCCCCTTTGTAGCCTTGTCTTCAACCACTAGAATGTAAGCCCCCTGAGGGCGGGGACTGTCCTTTTGCTTGTATTTGTATTCCTGGTACTTAGCTTAGTGCCTGGTATGTGGTAAGGACTGAATACATGCTCGTTGACTGACTGGTCTGCCTTGGTTTCCTCATCTGTTAAAAGGGGATTATAACAGTATCTGCCTCCTAGGGTAGTTGAGAGCATCAAATGATACAATATATGTAAAGCACCTTGCAAGTTTTAAAGATATTTGTAAGTTTTTATTGTTCTTCCTTCTATTTAGAGCTGGAATTTAGAGCCAGCTACACAGGCTGTGATCTAGTCCAACCCTTTACTTTTCAGATGGGAAAACTGAAACAAACACAGGTTAGGTGACTTGTCCACGGTCAAACAGCTGTTAAGAGGCAAAACTGGGATTTGACCTTGGACCCTGAAGAATGGCCAGGAGAGGGCGGGTAAGTCACCAAACTTTAAATGCATAGTTCAGTGGCAGGACAGGATTTGAACCCAGGTCCTCTGATCCCAAATTCAGTACTCCTTAAATGATATCCAAGTTCCTCAAATAAATCATCCTATTGGTAAGAATGACCTCGGGGAAGCTAGATGGTGCAAGGGACAGAGTTTGGAGTGTCATAAATAAACTGGATTTTAGTGTGTGTAAGGAGGAGTTTGTTTTTCCTTTTTAGATAGTAGTTCCAGGATCCTAAATAATATTTCCCATGAACTGTGGTTGAAAACATCTCCACCATGCTTGCACAGTGAGATATGGGGGTGACACGTGATATTTACTATGCTTGCGCTGAGTGACGACATGGCTACAGTTAACCTGTGAGGCTAGGGTTGGCAAGATGCCTTCTTTGTCTGTTGTCCTATAAAGCAAGTGGGCGCTGGCCAGTGAGTGGAGAACCCACGTTGGGATTTGGATGATGCATACAGGAATGCATGTACCTGCCTTGATCGCCCCTTCAAGGGTTGGGGGCATCTGTGTTTGCCTGCACCCACCCCCACAGAGGCTTCGGGGACCAGTAGAAGTCCTAGCGACACCTCTGCGAGAAGTGTGATTAGGGAATGCTGTAGGGGTTGGAGCTCCTACGATCAGCAAACTCTCTTTGAGAAGCCTAGATTATAATAAAGTAACTTTATTTAACCCCTGAAGCTGTCTTCCTGTCTGACTGGATCAAAAGTGAACACCTGTTAGGGTTAGGAGCATTCCTGTGTTCTCCTGTCCAACCAATGGCGTTACCTGTGTGTTCAGCTATGAAACAGGCCTGCAGTCAAGAAACCCTGGGTTCAAATTCGGACTTAGATACTTAACTAGCTGTGTGACCCTGGGTAACTCACTCAACCCTATTTGCCTCAGTTACCTCATTTGTAAAATAAGCTGCAGAAGGAAATGGCAAACCACTCCAGTATCTTTGCCAAGAAAACCCAAAATGGGCTCACAAACAGTCAGCCACCAATGAACAACAAAAACAAAACAGCTAACAATAGACAAAAACGAATGACCCCGTTAAGTCAGGAGTTGCAGAACCTTCTACCAGAGCTCTTCCAGCCGTGGGGACAGGTTTAAGGAGAGGACTTGTTTCCCTCGGAATTCTGGGAGTTGTAGTCCCAGTTGCTTACACATTCCCCTCAGTCCTGCGGGCGGACCGAAACTACATTTCCTAGAAGCCTTTTCGTTAAGAGATGCAGGGCTAACGGGCGGCGAAGGCCTCCCCCTGCTCCCCGAGGGAAGGAAGCCTGGACTCCTCTCAGCTCAAGATCGAGGAGCACAGAGCTACGAGGTGAGCGTGGAGGCCGATCCGCCGCCGCCTGAGGGGCAGGGGAGGCACGAGGGTCCAACGGAAGGGGCGGCCCCAGGCCCGAAGCTGCGGGGAGCCGCCGTTGTCATGGCGACGCGAGCCCTCGCCCCACCTGCCCCCGCCTCCTCCTGCCCCTCCCTGGCCACGTGGAGGAGCCGCTGCTAGAGGCGCCCGCGCTGGGGGTGCGGCGGGGTGAGGGGTGAGAGGAGCAGGCCTGGGAGGCCGTGGGGCACGCCACCTGCATCTCACCGAGGGGACGCTGAGGCAGGGAAGGGACGCGGGCTCACAGATCTAGAGCTGGCAGGGACCCTAGAGAGCACTGATCCACCTCCCCCATCCCATTTTACAGACGAGGAAACTGGGGCACAAAGCAGTAGTGAGATACGTCAGAAAGGACCCCAGCAGTCACCGATTTCCCACCACCCCCACCCCCCACAACCCCTCATTTTACAGGTGGGGAAACTGGGGCCGAGAGAGTGGAGGAGACTTTTCCAAGGCCGCGCCAGTGGGAGGTGGCGGAGGATTCGAACCCAGGCCCTTGGGCTCGAGAACCAGCACCGCAGGACCTCGGAGGAGGCAGCTTTTCTAATCAGGGGTGGCAGGGTGGAGACTGCCAGATCCGAAGTAGGAATGACCTGGATTCAAATCCTGCTTTTGATGTTTGCGAGCTGGGTGACCCTAGGCAAACCATTGACTTCCTCGGAGCCTCTTTTGCTCCTGCGTTAAGTGGGGTAGGGAGAGGCACTAGACCTGGCATTTCATGGGTGTGGCAGGCTCCCTCTGTCACTGCAGGTCAGTACTTTCTCCTCCAGCACTGAGAGGTCGGCCTGGCCAGCGTCACACAGTCAGTGTGTGTCACAGGCAGAACTCGAATTCAGGACTTCCCGGCTTCCAAGTCAAAACTCTTTAGGCTAACCAGCTCATCTGCTAAATGGACTTTATAATACCTAGAGTTCTTTCGAAGTTTAAATGTGACTGCATAGAAAGTGCTTTGCCAACCTTGAAGCCCCACATGTGCTTCAGATGTCACTGTCAGTCATTATTAAGGAAAAAGCCTCCTTCTGAGCCTCGGGTGAAAAACGGGCTGGGGTTTTGAAGGCTGCTATATACACAATGGAAGTAAGTTGAATGAAGGAGCCCTACTCTTAATTTTTCTATTTCTTATCAGTGTAGTTTTTGTTTCTTTGGGTTTGTCTTTCTCTATCCCTCCCTATGCCCTTTCATTTTCTGTCTGCTGTGTTAGAACTTCGTTCAAATCTGAGCCCTGACATTGTTTTATCCTTATGTGGGCTTGGCCAAACCTCAGAATCTCAGTGTGTTTGAACTTGAAGAGTTAGTGACATCATCTAATCCCAGGGGTCTTAACTCTTTTTTTTGTGCCTTTGAGAAGCCTTTGGACTTTCCCTGAATGTTTTTAAATCTGTGAAATAAATCACATAGGATTGTAAGGGAAACCAATTCTATTGACACGTAATTATCAAAATATTAACAAGTTCACATTTTCCTGGCCAAGAACTACTGACTTAGTGTGATCCTCTCAATTTACAATGGAGGAAACTGAGGCAAAGTTAGATACCTAATAAAGGACAAAGCCAAACTCAAATCCAGGCCTTTTGAGGATTTTGACCTGAAGTTTAGTGTTCTCCACCACACTTCCTCCCGGTGAACCTCCCTAAGCCTTAATTTCTTTATCTTTCAAATAGATGACATAGTACTTTCACTACATAGTTCACAGAGAAGCAGTGTAAATGTGAATTATTGTTATGAGGCAAGCCAGTCTCCCTCTCTTTTCTTGTTTCCTTTCTCCAAAGAACAGCTAGGAAAATGGTGGAAGTGGGGTCTATTAGTTGCTACCTCTAATTCTCACTATCCTGATTTCTGAGATGGGAGGGGTCTTTATGTCTTCTCTGAGAACAAATTGGTATTTAATGAAGTATGCTTTCACATATGAGAGTGCAAGTCTAGTTCAATTCAGTAGCCACTTATTAAGCATTAAAGACAAAAGCAAGACAGTCCCTGCCCTGAAGGGTTTACATTCTACTGGGTGTATATGGCAGGTACACAGAGAAGTATGATACAAGTTAATTTGAAGTAGGGGAGAGCATCTTCATTTGGGAAGTCTTCATAAGAGGGGACCCGGAATCTGATCCTTGCAGGAACCATTTATTACAAGGGGCTGAAATGAGAGTGGGGCAGGAGTTAGGTGGGAGATGGAATGTCAAGTTTGGGGCGGGGCTAGTGTCTGGGTCAGATTGTCAGGTCTGGGTAGAGGAGTCTTCTGAAATAAGTCTGGAAAGGTAGGTTGGAGTCAGATTATGTAGGGCTTTAAATGTCAGCTGGAGAGATTTGTATTTTTATAATTTATTCAGAGGTAGTGGAGAGCCACTGAAGCTTTTTGAGTTGGGTCATGATAAGGTCAGACCTGGGCCTTTGGAAGATTTGGGCAGCTGTGTGGACAGTGGATCACAGAGGGAAGAGAATGGAAGCAGGGGAACCAAGCAGGAAACTCTGATAGAAAGTCCAGGGGAGAAGTGATGAAGGCCTGAACTAGGGTGGTAGCTGGGGGGTGGAGAGGTGGGGACCTAGAAGAGGTTGTGGAGGCAGGATTGACAAGATCTGCCAGTGGATTGGGTATAAGGAATGAGGGGCAGGAAGTAATTCAGAATAACACTAAAGTTATGAAACCCAGTTCAGTGAGACAATGGTGGTGCCCCCCCCCCCCCCGAAGAAATAGGGAAGTTTGAAAGAGATGACTTTTGGGAGGGGGGCAGATAATGGCTTCCATTTTGAGCATTAAGGTTGACATGCTGGGGGAACATGTGAGTGGAGATGGTGATATGGGATTGGGGTTTAGGAGTGGGATTATGGCTAGATACATAGATAAGGGGAGTCTTTTGTATTTCACCATGGTAAAGTAAGATCAGCAAGGAGAGACGGTATATAGGGAGAAGAAAAGAAGGCACAGGACAGGGTCTTGGGGACATCCATGATTGAGGATAGGAGGTGGGTGAGGACCCAACAAAAGAGACTGAGAAGTGGTCCTACAAGAGATACATCAGGGTAGAGCAATGGTAGGGAGGCAGCTGCTTTCTGTAAGCCGATGGATTTATTTCTTATTTCAACTATGAAAAACAGCAGTGTCTTTCCTAAAGGTGCTTATAATGTAATAGAGTGAAGGAGATTCATGTAATACTACCATTCCTATGGCATTGTAAAGTTTGCAAAGTGCTATATATGTACATTTATACATGTACATATAGATATGTACACATATCTGTATGTACATACCTACCCATATATAAATGTGTATATATACACATATATGCATATCTATCTAATAAATAAAATCTTTTATTTGAAATACTCAGACAAGTCTGGTTCAAGGTAGAATGTGATAAGTGCATTTCTTAAATACCCTTTATCATGCAAAGTAAGTGTAATTAGACCTTACTTAGAACATGAACTTTAGAGGGATACTGGGTCCACGAATGCAACATACCTTCCCTGTTTAAATAGTAGCAAAACTAAGGCCAAGAGGTTCGGGAAACAACCAGAAACAGTAGTGTCAGAGTGGAGCAGGAAAACATGTCTTGGATTTATTGGGCTCTTTTTTAATATGCTACTAAATCTCTACATCTGAACCTGTCACAAGTGATGCTGTTAGTGTATAATAACTTGTCACACTTGGAGGATGATGTTCTTAATGCTGACAGGTGATTGCTAAGCTTTGGAAACTAGGATGACTGCTTATTGTGTTTGGATTTTTAACCTTCTGGGCTAAGTGGAGCTGGTTAGGAATAGAACGAGTCACCTTCAGTGGCTTCCCTTTGCCCCCAAGAGAAAGGTAAAATTCCTTCCTTTGGCATTTAAAGGGAGGCAGCTAGGTGATGCAGTGGATAGAACGTAAGACTTGGAGTTAAAAAGACCTGGGTTTAAATCTTGGCTCTGTCACTTACCAGCTGTGGGATTCTAGGCAAGTCACTTGACCTCTTTGTGCCTCAGTTTCCTCATCTGCAAAATGGGGATAATAATAGTAACTACCTCTCTTTTTGGTGTTGTTGGCTATCGAATGCAATTCCATATATAGCACTTTGCAAACCTAAAGCACCATGGAAATGCTAGCTATTATTAGCCATCATTAAGGCTTTTTATGGTCTAGCTTCAACTACCTCATTTGACACTACTCCCCATCACACCCTCAATGCCTCAGTATAACTGGCCTTCTGGCTGTTCCATTGACATCTGTGTATTTGTGTAAGCTACCTTGTCCTGCCTGCCTAGAACCTATTTCTTCTCTGCTTGTGGAAATCCTTTTCTTCTGTAGCCAGATTCAGGGGTTTTCAGGCCGCCCTGAAGTCTTCCCTAAAAGTGATCGTGTCTCCTTCAGTTTTCCTCGAGCATTTTGTTTCACTCTCTTCCTTGTCCTTGTCACATTTCTCTTTGTATCACACGTAATGGGGCACCATATATCCTCCTCTTTGGACTGTAAGCAGATCACATGTTGCTTTTCACTTTGTATCCTTAGTGCCTAACATAGGCCTTACAAATTGGAAAGTGCTTAAAAGTGCTTGAATTAAATTGGGGGTCCTGAGGTCTGTTCAAATAACACAATTTAGTGCCTTTCTCTTATGTCCTTTTCCCTCAGTCTTTCATACCACTAGGCTCCCAGGGTTTGGAGAATCAGGAATTCCTTCAATGAGGAGTGAGAGGTTCAAGTGATGTGATTTCTAAGGGTTCTTCTAAACTCTTGGAATCTCTGATTCCATGATCAGTTCGCTACCCATGTATCCTTGAACCATATAGATAGTTCCCTAACCCTAATTTATAGTTATTTTCAGGGAGCTGTTGGTGTTTCTACCTAGAATCAGTGCTCCATATTGTATCTTATTAAATCTTCTCTATATAAAGGTTTTGGACTTAGGAGTGCCCTTTAAACATTCACTCTTCTGAACTCTTCCGAATCCCCAGGGTGGAATCCATTG